AGTTACAGACTGTCAAGGGTTTTTGTCACAACTGCAGCTAAGTGGCAGTGGTGCAAGGAACTTTCTGTGGTCACCTCAACCACAATGCCTTGCACTGAGGGAGGATCCCTACTTCAGTGTGAGCGGTGTTGGCCTGAACAACTCTCTTGGACTGCAGTTTCTTTCCTTCAGCAGCCACAGAAGCAATACATGGCCTGTGGTGGAAGCAGTGTTAGCCATAATAACAGCAGCTGCAGCAGGTTAGTGGATGATGGTCTGGCTGCTGGATATAGTGGCAGACAGACCTGTGGCCGGCCACCACCACTTGTAATCCACCACCTGAGGCATGTATTTCACCATGCCTCAACACAGGGCTGGCCCTGACCAGCTTGTTCAAGAGTAACAAGCCGTTGGCTGTCTCCTATCCTGTAGCAGCTAGGAGAAATGTTACTTGTGGAAAGTGAAATGCCTCATAAAATATAATTCAATACAACACAGACTATCATAACCAGGATCCCACACTTTGCATCATTTGAATGTATGCAATTAAAGTGGCTAATTTACAGGACTAGCTTTTATCATGCATCACTTCTTGCATAATACAACAAACACCACTAAAACCCAGTAGGTAAACAGATAGATCTTATTAGGCATGGTGCACGACGGTGCCTCAAATGCAGTGCCAGAAATAATTTCCTGACAAAAAGCTTTCTTAAAAATAACACACCAATATTATTAAAATGTTAAGCTGTTAAATAACACACTGATCCAGTGTTAGCTAATTTGGTACTCAGCCCAGATGTGAGTCTTGAAATCATTCATGAGCGTTGCCCACGCTGGCTGTGGGCTGTTGGTTGTAGTCAGTGCTATTTTCCTAGAAAAATAGATGCTGGAACTCACCAATAACATCTGCCTCGTGAAGGCCACCTGAGAGGTTCTGTAACTGAGTTCTGGCGAATTCTGGCTGAAAACAAAACCAAACCCTGGTTGTGGTCCAAAACATGTGGAAGGCATCAAACTGGAGAGTGCTACTATGGTCTATGCACACATACCTGCACATAATTAAAAGCTATGTGTGTGGCCTATTCACTGAGCCAGGACTACTGATTCTGACTCATCAACAAATATGCTGATCCACTACAGCTGGAATAAGAATAAGAATAATGTATTTATATGCCACTCATCTGACTGGTTTTCTCCAGCCACTCTGGGCAGCTTCCAACAAATTAAAACACAGGATGGTAACCTGTGACAGTCAAGATGTGGTTGGACTACAATTCCTGTCATCCCTGCAACTCCTGTCATCCCTGGCTATGCTGACTAGGGCTGATGGGAACTGTAGTCTAACAACATTGGGAGGGCCACAGGATCCCTCTCCTAGCACTACAGGCTTGCAGGATGCATGGGCCCCTAAGAAATTGATTTCTTTGAATCCAAGCCTTGAGACTGAGAAGTTAAAAAGGCATATAGTGTATCATGGACCTGCTGTTTGCAAGAAGGCCTTTGGAAGTTCTCTGGAACCCAACTGACATTTATGGGCAGCATATTCTGGGCAAGAGTTGCAGTTCCATTATACAGAATGGAGCTTTCCCTGCTTAATTGAGCAAAACCTAGATCGAAATCCAGCCTCTCTGAAAAGTATGCATATTACAGTAACGGCTTCATTTAGGGAAGAGATTGAAATTGGCAGAACAATCCCAAGCCCTGATGAACTAAAGGGCAGTTTCCATAGAATTAAAGGGCTGTATGGGGCATATTATGGGTAATCTGACAAATGCGGTTTAATTAATGGACACTACTGTAGTGTGTTTACTGTAGTGTGTTTACTGCATATCTCTATTGCATTAGCAATTAAGAGGGGGGGAAACCACCACCACATTGTCCATCAGTAGCAGATATTACCTTTATTTGAGGAACATATTTAAGCTGCCTGTCAGGAACTGCATGACAGGGATGTGAGTTTTAATTGGTAGGTTAACTAAATCTTGAGTCAATTAATCAGCAGAGTCCCATTTCCATTGTTTGGGTCATAACTTGTTAATTTAAGGTTCTTTTGTTAACATAATAGAACAGCCATTGCCCTCCAGATATTCTTTACTACAACTCCCAACAGTCAATGCTGTGTTAAACAGGGTGATGGAAGTTGTCCAAAACCTTTGGAGGCAACCATGTTGCTACAGGGTGCAATAGGGAATGAAAAAGAAAATATGCATCTGCATGTTAAAAGTCTATTCCCCCTCTGAGACAGGAATGCCCATTTCTTCAGGCTGAAGGGACAGATCATCCCAGTGTTCATGTGCTATGAACACTCTGTGCTTGGATTTCACCACAAATCTCCTTTTTGACACTGTGGATAGGCATCTTTTCAGCCTCTAGGCTAGTGAATACTCCTTACACTGCCAGACCCTCCAAGTGCCCCTATTTTCCAGGGACAATTCAGGATTTACAGAAGCTGTCCCTGTTTCTGATTTGATCCCAGAAAGCCCGACTTTTCCTCAGGACATCCCTATTTTCACTGGAGAAATGTTGGAGGGTATGGACTTTTGCGACCCCCAAGCCAAGGAGATAAGTAATTATACAACCTTTAGAAGACATCTGAAGGTAGCTGTGTATAGGGAAGTTTTTAAATGTTTAATGTTTATTATATTTTTATATATGTTGGAAGCTGCCCAGAGTGGCTGGGGCAACTCAGTCAGATGGGAATAATAATAATAATAATATATTTGTATGCCACCCATCTGACTGGGTTCCCCCAGCCACTCTGGACAGCTTCCAACAAATTAAAACACAAATTAAAGCACAGGAACCACACTATAGATTGTACTGCAAATTTTAGTTCGGTCTAGACCACACAAGCTATCAAGTAGTGGATCATTTTTCACTGTTCAGTGCTGCCATATTAAAATAGTATTCAGACAAAGACGGGGGGGGGGGCAGGGGAGACATGCAAGTGACTTCTGAAAGCTCTATTTGAATAGACATCTTCAAAGCCTGAATCACATAATAGGACTCTGCGTTCTCCAGGCTACTCAGAGCACAAAATGGAACTGTGAGGACCTGTCATTTTCCTGCCCCTAAACGTCTGTTAGACTTACACCCCCAACTTTGTCTAGCAGGGATCAAATAATTAGAAGAGAATGTTGTCACAGGATTAAATGGCCTTGCATTAGGATGGAAGCTTTTCTAGGAAGCACATTGATGCATACTGTAGTGTTATTTTAACATGGTTGACTACATTGTGTAAACGATAGGTTGGATGCGCTGGGAACTGTAGCTCTGTGAGGAGAAAAGGGGTCTTTTAAGAGTTCTCAACACCCTTAAAAAAAACCCCAGCAGTTTCCCAGGATTCATTTGGGGAAAACCATGATGGTTTAAAGTAGGGCTGCCATATTTCAAGAGGTAAAAATCCAGACACGAAAAGTTGTTGAGTTTTTTAGGACAATCGCTTAATAGCCCTTCTGCTGACAGAGCCACCCGCACACAAATGTGTGTGTGTGTGTGTGTCACAACTAACTTAAGTCCAAATAATTTCAATGGATCTACATGAAACATGTCTTATTCTGCATTGAAGCCAGTATTTAACCCTTTAGGTATGCATGTGTTTGTATCAGAGGGCCGAGTTTGCTCCTTAGCTAGAGGAACCTCAATGAGCTTGCAAACATTTTTTTTTATTAAGTTTAATATAAAACTGCTGTGATAGGTACTGGACTTAAGAACATAATAAGAGCCTGCTGGATCAGGCCAATGGCCTATCCAGTACAGCACTCTGTTCTCACAGTGGCCAACATGTGGGGAAATGGCAAGCCTGACTGAGATCATAGCTGCTCACTCTACAATTACAGCTCCCAGTCCTTTGGCTCCCAGTCTTCTTTTCTGCTAATACAGTGGTACATCGAGTTACAAACGCCTCAGGTTACAAACGCTTCAGGTTACAAATTCCGCTAACCTGGAAGAGTTACCTCGAGTTGAGAACTTTGCCCCAGGATGAGAACGGAAATCGTGTGCTGGAGGCGCAGCGGCAGCAAGAGGCCCCATTAACGAAAGCATGCCTCTAGTTAAGAACAGTTTCAGGTTAAGAACGGACCTCCGGAACCAATTAAGTTCGTAAATAGAGGTGCCACTGTACTGAGTTTGTCACTCAAAAGTCTACACACACACACACACAGGATTGATACAACTAAAGACCACCATACTGAAGCACATTTTGTTTTTGTACTGATGGCAAGTAGAGTTAAATAAACAAGTTTCAACAGATTTATAGATCAATCCTGTTCATGTTTCCTTGGCCCTGGGAACTAAATGAATATGCATAAGTCTTCCAGCCCAGATTTTGTTGCAGTTAAAGCATGAATGTTCACAGGGACCTGATCGTTATACTTGCAAGTAGAAGCAACAGAGACTGGTTGGTGAATATTTGGGAAGGATCAGTCTGGAAAAGCAGGAGAACAGTTTCTACTCAGCCTGCCTTGTTACAAATGGGGTCTTTTATCTCCTGGTGCAAAATCTGCAGAGCTGTAGCATCATAATGCACAGCACCAGATGCTCTAGTATACAAAAGCAAGACACAGGTAATGAACAATCGTCGCCTCAAGAAAATTGCTTTATTCCTCTCTGGAGAGTGGGAGAAAGTGGAAACATTAATAGCAACATTATCTACCAGGCCTTGCCAAATTGCTGTCACTTGGTAAATATGCAAGAGAATTAGGTAATAAAAGCTTCATTAATCAAAGTTCAGAGGTATCATTAAATCGGAATCTTGCATTCATCATTCAGGAGCAACATGCAGGTATCAAAGGGGGACGGGCCTTCTGTTCTTATTTGCACAGATGTAAGTCCACTGCGAATGGTATTCCACTCAGTACCTTTACCCACAATGTAAAAATGATGTACCTCAGAAGAGAATGTGAGCAAATGGAAGAATTACATAATGTCTCAAGGACTGGCCGCATACACCAAACACACACATTGTGTGTGTGTCACTAGTCTTTGTGGCATTAAGTAATTCTTTGTTCCATATGCACAGTATGTGTGTGTGTGTGTGTGTGTGTGTGTGTGTGTCTTTCTCTCTCCTCCTCCCTCTCTCTACACCCTCCTGGGTGCACGCGGGTGTGCACATACACACACACACGCACACACGCCACATACAAATATGTGTATATATATGCACACACACATATATGTGTGTCCATATATACCCTCAGGTAATTCATGTTCAGCTAAGTCTAAATTTAAAATGGTCAAAATGTGCAGCAAACTACATCTCTGAAGGGCTGTACAGTACTCTATTATAAAAGTTATTTCAAGACCTGTATGTGTAGGAGTTTGGATAACAATGAGGATTAAAATCCACGGAGAACTGAATCACAAAGACAAAAACCATTTTTTTAAAAAAAACGTTGATCGCAACTTTGCAACCGACATTAAAATTAATGAGGTACTACCAGCATCCTTTATATTAAAAATACTTCAAAATAATTGTTCACACAGGAAAATGAGTTAAGAAGCCTCTGAAGCTAGCCCTTTCACAGGGCTGGGTGGTCACAGCAAGGAGACACTGCAGTTGCAGTGGAAGTTTCAGGTGAAGGTAGAAAAGGCTGGTGAAGAGAAATTGAGTCAGCAACTGTGTGTATGTGTTTGTTTTAAAATATGAACATGCAGACACACAGTCATAGGAGTGGAGAAATCTGCCTTATATTTGTTGCAGATATTATTACTGTGCAGTTTGAAGCAACTGGAAGCATAGGAATGGACTCCTTTTGGGAGAATTGACCAGGCCCATAAAAGTATTATTCAAAGTTTAACTGACAGAATGCTTCAAAATAAAACAGAAACATCAAATGATACAGTGGTACCTCGGGTTAAGAACTTAATTTGTTCTGGAGGTCTGTTTTTAACCTGAAACTGTTCTTAACCTGAAGCACCGCTTTACCTAATGGGGCCTCCTGATGCTGCTGCGCTGCAGGAGCACTATTTCTGTTCTTATCCTGAAGCAAAGTTCTTAACCCGAGGTAATATTTCTGGGTTAGCGGAGTCTGTAACCTGAAGCATATGTAACCTGAAGCATATGTAACCTGAGGTACCACTGTACATTCAAAAATATCCTTATAATGTCTTGTGCTGTCCAGCACAGGCTCAGCATCTTACAAAATATGAAATAATCCAAAGAGACTTAGAAGCAGAGGTCTGTCTCTTCCCACAGTCTTTTTTCCATTGGCCTTAGGCTGTTTAGTCTCACTTCAGGAGAGCTTCATTTACATCTTTACTTCATGGAGTTTGGGAAACAAAAGACTAAAGGCAGCTCCCTTTCAAAATGGAGGTTTGCAACTCAATACCTTCATCACAAGATCTAAGATTACAACCAGGACTCTTTTTCAGCTGGAACTCCTCAGGTGGGCACCATTGCCATTATAACAGAACAAGGGAGGCGCTCATGGTGAGTTACAGCACCTTTCCCCCCAGAAAAATATCACTGGTTACAACACTCACGTGTTAGCTACCAGAGAACAACAAAGAGATAATCATTAACTCAGTAAGAGCTCAGAGACTCTTAGAAAACTACTACGTAAAAACCCCAATGTTAGCATTTAGCCACTTTCCATTTTAAACTTTCATAATACATATACATTTTTCATTTCTGTGTGAATTAAATCAATTATACTTAACAATATTGAGTCAGGCCATTGGTCCATCTAACTTGGTACTGTCAGTGGCTTTCAAAGGTTTCTCACACATATGCAGATCAGATGCTCATTCAGTGAGCTATGGTCCATCATCTATCAGTCTAGGTAAAAGCTAACACCAGCTAGATTTCCTGTTAAGTATAGTTGGTTTGATTCATCCAGAAATGGGAAAATGCCTGTGTATGAATGAAGGTTAAAAATGGAAAAAATGGCTAAATATGTATTGCTAACATGGGTTTTTCCCCACAGTAGTTTTCTAAGGGTCCCTAAGCTCCTAAGCTGGTTAATTGTTGATTGTTTTCTGTTACTCTAAATGGAATGTAACCTTTGATCATGTGATGAGGCTATTGAGTTGCAAATTCACCATCTTGAAAGGGTGGTGGCTGTAAGTCTTTCTCTGGATGCCACAGAGAACAAAAGGATGTGGTGATGGCTCTCCAAGAAGCCTTGAATTTTGGAGTTATCGTTTATTTCTAAGATGCCGAGCCTGTGCTGGACATCTCAAGACATTGTATAGATGTTTGGGATGTATCATTTGATGTTTCTGTTTTGTTGCAGAGAAAGTTCTGCAAGTAAACTTTGAATACTATTTTTATAGGTCTGGGCAATGTTTTCTTCCAAAAGGAGTCAGTTCTCATGCATCTAGTCACTTCAAACTGCACAATATCAATACCTGCAATACTTCCTGCCACACAACGCTTCTTTCCTCTGCATTTGGCAACTTGCATGACATAAGAGATAACGTAAGGCCCATGATAACACAACAAGTTTGCCACATTTCTTTTCTGGCCTTTTCCCTGTGCTTTTAACAGTGGCTGCCAAACAGAATCTTAAACAGTGAACCGTTTCCTAGAATCTAAATAAAGGGCCCAATGTTTATTTTCTGCATGTCGGGCTGCTCAAGAAGGAGCAAATTTCCTCGTAGGGAATTTTAGCAGTTGCCTACCTATCCTCATAATCAGCCCTCAGCTACAACGGTCACATAGATGGTATAAAGTGCAAACTCTTCCTTTGGAAGAAATTTATGGCACTTAGGTGAACAAAACGAGTGAATGGAAACCAGAGAATCATATTAAGACAAATTGTGCCTTAAAGTAACCTAACATGCTCCCATATGTTATTGCTTTTGATGAAGATAATGACTTTAAAGCTGAATCGTGGCTCCCACCGTAACACTCTTATTAGTGAACTGCCTGGATCTAGGAAGGCATACAAATGATAATTCTACACACATGCCATTCACAGTGTATAAGAGAATAGGCTGTGGGACAACAAGATTTTGGAGTGCCGCAAGCCAAATGGGGAAGTAATGGATGTTGTGTTGCTTTATTCCACCTCTCTCTCTCTCTCTCTCTCTCTCTCTCTCTCTCTCTCTCTCTCTCTTGTATCTGTTAGGCATATATATGTAGTGACCTTGCTGAATGACTGCAGTGGGTGGTGAATAATGTATGAAATGCAAAGCTGCGGCCCAGTGCAGAGAGAATACAGATTGTGAGGGGACTTCCTGCTGGTGTTTGGCTGAATTTCGCTGTGCAGAAACATCGATTGCCGTCTTGCCCTCTAGCGTAGGGCAACCTGAGTTAGTCTACAACTAGAGGTGAGAAGATCAAAATAGTCATTAACATCTTAAAATGTTATTTCTGCGGGCAACTTTTTGTGTAAAAGAACTTGGAAAACTGACCACCTTTTCCCTTTCATAGCATTAACGGTTAAGCAGTCACTAATCCTTTTAAACAATTTTGAAATATTTCTTATTTATTTAAGCAAGAACATGTACTTCAATAACATACCAGCATAAAGAATGAGGAAGACAACAGAACTGAATGGAAATGGAAATTAAACGCAAAATGCAAATTTGTGTAGCGTCATTCAGAATCCTGAGGAGCGGGATATTATCGGTGTTAGGAGGGCAGTAACTTTTTTTTAAAAAAATTGTTTTATTTATAAATATAGGGATATTATGATATTCTCACATAAAGTTGAAAAGTTACTAAGAATTCCAAATTGTAGCATATTTCACAGGAGGAATTAAACCCTATGATTCTACACACACACACAAACGCACACAGGGTGTATATATATATTCAACTGCCTTGCAGACAAAGTTGTAAATCTGAATCTAAATATATCTCTACAAAGGGTATTACAAATCTGGTGCCATTTAATTGACTTTAGACAGGTTTCACGTGAATAAGCAATTGTAAGTATGACTACGAGATGGATTGGTCTTGGGAGGCCTGTGCCTTTACAAACTGGCAACACTCCCATTTATTAATGAAATAATCAAACAGTTATGTCTATTAAAGATTGCTTTGGCCTAGAAACCAAATATTGGATTCAGAAAGTAAACTTTAAGTATAATTCATAGTTAACATTGTTTGCGGGGGAGGCGGGAACCCTCCAGGATGACATGCTCTAGAGGGGATGCATTCTGATTAAAATTCATAGGGAGCGAGGCCACTGGAAAGAAAAGAAAAAAGAATCTTTGATAATAGCAAGACTGCTACACATACATTGCAGCTAAAACCTCCTCTCTTGCTCTCCAGCATTTACATTCTGGGCATTATATATTGAATTTAAGAGATTTCATAAGTACAACATTCAATATGGTTGGAACACTAATAGGAACAATATTTGCTATATAAAAAAAACACCACACACAAAAACCCCCACAGTGTGGTAATCTGATTTAAATTCAAAGTGCACACAGCCAGCCCAAGTCATTTTGCTGCCTGTGGGGAAAGATAAGATGGCACCCCCCTCAGTCCACATTTCACATTCAAAGCTGACTGGGCTGGTAAATCCGCTCCACTTCACTGTGGGGAGGAGTTGTGGTAGACCGCGTGGCCACCCACTCCCCTACAGGGGCGGGGACAAAGTCCCGTGTTGTCCGGGGGATCCCGGCTGTATCAGCCACCGGCCAGCCAATCTTCTGGCTGGTGGGGTGTGTGGCCAGGACCGTTTAAATCTGTGGCGCAGGCCGGAGGGCTTCCTCTGGGGGAGCTTGAGTTGGTCTGCATCGACGGGGCACCCCCTTCTGGTGGTTTACCCTTATTGGACTCCCTGCGCAACGGACAGGAGTCAGATGTAGTCAGGTCCATTCAATGCCAATACCGCTCACATTCTGTAATCAATAAAGTTGTGGCCAAAATTTGCCCAATAACAATTAACCTAATATCTATGTTCTAGTTTGTTTTATTTTCCAACGAGGGGGTGGTTGCGGTGTCTAGACACGTGATTCAATCTTGCTTTATCACAGGCAACAGGGCAATGCTTTCCACCACACCCAAGAGCAGCAGGTAGGCTTACAGATGTGTGGTGGACACAGGCCTATGTCAGAACATAAGAAGAGCCTGCTGCACCAGGCCCCTGGCTCATCCAGGCCAGCATCCTGCTCTCGCAGTGGCCAAGCAGATGTCTGTGGGAAGTCCATAAGCAGGAACTGGGCACAACAGCACTCCCACTT